CAGGATAGCAGAGATAAAAGAATCTCAAGACATACTTACGAATATACTACCTAGACGTCAGGATTGTCCTAAAATGTTACAGTGGCTGTGATTAAAATGTTCTGTTAACTGCATATGTAAGTACATAAAAATATATAAAACTAAGCAAACAATAACAATAAGCTTGTAAAAGTATAAAATAAACAATAAGCAAACAATAAACAATAAGCTTGTAAAAGTATAAAACGAAGAATGTGATTCATTAAATTATAAATTCTTTAATTTTTAATGAACTTAAAAATTAAATGCAGGACTGTGTTTTATCCTTCAGATTAACTAATAAAAACCATACAGCGTTATGTTTTCGGGCAACTGAGTCTTAAAAAATCATCCAAACCTTTGCTGGAAATCGAATTCAATATTTTGTAATTATGAGCCAGATACGTTTATCTTTATTCCATATGGATATATGGGAAGAATAGCTTCGATTCTTTACATTAACTTACATCTTAAAGAGCGACTGGAGACACAAGGCGCGATCAGCTCTTATGATCAAAGTCGTGTCGAATTCAGGTTTAGATTCGGATTATTTAAGATAAGTTTATGGTGACTTCGAATTTAGTTCACCTCTTATTACTTAAGAGTGTCGCTGTAGGTTTACATAAAAGAGAATTCTGAAAAATCAACAGTACCTTTCAGCAGTCTCAGGCGTTTCAGTTGCTGAATGGATGTGAATACAATATAGGGATACATGTGAAGAAATCATTTAATTAATTAAAAACTCAATATTTAAAGGCTAACGTGTTCGGAATCTGTTAAAAAGACAACCAAATAAAAATTTTTCAATTTTGTGCTAACACTATTAAATTAAAACAATTGACGGCTATCTACAAGGCTGATCTTAATTGCTTTTCATGCTTGCCTTATAATTCATTGATGGTCTAACGCAGGTATAAAAAGACCCCATAAATTCACAAAATATGCAAGCCTTGTCTCTATCTGCTACACAGCTTACCCCTTGCATCTATTTCTTCTTCTTACGTAATTGTTAAATTTGTGTGCTTCTGGACTGCAACAGAAAAAATGTAGCAGAACCCATAATAACATTTGGAACTTCAGCTTTATTATATCAAATAATGGCTTTATCTGTCTTCAGCTTTATCATATATAATATATTCCTTTTTTATATTTTATGAGAAGACATTTGAACAATTACAAATAATAATAGGTTAGGTTAGGTTAGGTTGTTTAATTACGGCAAAACCTCGAGGGCTATCTGCCTAAGGGGAGGGATGCCTTCGTGGAGGACTTTCTAAGGGAAACTGGCTCGTTACACTCACATGGGGAAAAAACGAAACACCCAGCGCCAGCCCGTTCGCGGGATTCGAACCTCGGACCGAACTACCAGTGTTCAACGACTTTACCGCTCGGCCGCTGGTGGACCAAATAATAATAATACTGGCAGTTATGAAAAGCAGTGAAATGGCAGATAATTTGTTAACAATCTTGTATTAAGTAAGGCGTACCAATCTATTATTGAGTTAATTTTTTAGCTCATTCTGTTCATAATAAAGCAGTATTAATATTGCCATATAAAACATACATTAAAGACAGCGGTTGTTAGTAACGATTCATCAATTTCCGGTTTCGCTGTTTTATTATTCATTTTTAGACCATTTTTAGCTGCTGTTCTCATATACAGAGAACGCAGAGTGTATATTTCAAAATTTAGGTACATTTGATCACATTAATTTTGCTTTAAATGCAAATCTTCTCAGTGAAACCAACTAGAAAACTCACTTGCTAGTTAAACAGAGCTGGAAATATCCACTGAGGCAACATAAAAAATAAGATATAAGTAGATAACATTAATTTTTATTAAAGCTTTGTGCAGCTACATAAATTTTCAGCATAGTTGAGTGTTAAATGATTTCATTGTTTGCTATCGAATCATTACATTTGTTCAACTGAGTTAAATAGATGGGTTGAAGTTCATTTAGAGCATCCGAAACGAGGTTCAGATTTTCTACATAGACTCTGTATAGTCATTTCAGTACAATACAGAAGATAAAGACAGGCGGTGAAATTTTTAAGCCCATCGATAAAAAATCTGTATGTGACAACCCATTGACTTCCTTATAGGGCTTATTAAATTATATACATCTTTTGCATTTCATTTACACTTATTTCCTTACAGATATATTTCTTGTTCAATCAATTCCATTCGCACTCTACGGCAAGGAAAAATTACATAAAACTCAAAACAACTTCATTAAAAATTGTACAAAACAAAAAACCTAAAACACCGTATACAGTAAAAAAATTTTAAAAATAAAAATTACATTTTCTAGGAAAACAACAAGTAATTCGAGAAGCGGGCAGGGAACATAAAATTTTCGATGCAGAATATTTTAAAATTAATGTTTGGTTCCAATGCGCAGAGCGACATTGAAATTGGTGCGCGAAGTTAAGTGCAACTAGTGTCGGCGTATTTCGCTATACTATATTAAAGGTTTTAAATGCAAACAAATTCGCACCACCTTAAGCTTAACGTCATTTACGCTTTTAAATTGTTGATAATTCTACAAATACTGCATGCAGAATAACTAGAGGCATAAAACCGTTAATTGGAACATAAGAACAACGTAATTCATTCACTTTTCAAATAAAAAAATCCACAATCTACCAATCTATAATAATAATAATAAAAAAGATCTCATCAAGTTAGCTAAGAAGGGGGCGGCCGATTGCAATAAAAAGGGAGGTGCACAACTAGACGGTATAGCAGTTCCATATGTAAAACTTCAACGTGCCTTTTGTGTTCGCTCCTTTTCTGTACATACGTACAGACGCCACAAAAAATACCTTCTGAGTCTACCTTTCTCCATACATACAGATGCCAGGCAAAACAATGTTGAAAAGGATCCTGGAGCGGTCAGAATGTTCATTGAAATATGATACTCAAATTTTGTTTGCTATTACATTAATATTAATTTTGCTATTACAGTACCTCCTTTACTTCATACAAGGAAGTAAAAAGAGCGACAAGATACATGACCATGGGTAAACAAACGTTAAAATTGTGAAAATGTACGAACGGTTTGGTTTGGTGTCGAGTCCATATTTCATAGAAATATGGTTTTCAGAGCCTCAGCCTTTCAGCCACCCCAGTTTTGAAAGAGGGCGTCTGAGGGTCTCTCTTCCCTCTCCCATGCCATCAAACCACACAAGAGGACTTCCGATTTGCCATATATTTAGAATGCCTCCATGAAGCAAAGACACGATACATTTACAAACATCCATGCCTTCTCTGGGATTCAAATCCGGGCCCTTCGATATGGTAATCAGTGTCACTAAACACTGTTCCGTCTGAGCGGCTGAAAATATATTAATGAGAACCTGAATTAAAAAGATCTGAAATTTGCTGGGTTTCGGCGACAAATGGATGTCGCCCTTAGCTAATATTTTTTCATCACTTTTTATCAGTTTGGAGAAAATGCATTTTCAAGGCAATCGGATTTTTCTAGAATGCTTTAATAGTGTCGTCCAGCCATCTGGCTACTGCGTAAGTACTTCCTTCGTGAAAGGCTGCTCGCCTAGACGAGAATTCATTTTATCTTATTTTCAAACTCAGATGCAGTTCAATTTGCTACTCAAGTGATTTTAGTGTTTGTACTGTAAACGAAGTAACAATGCTGTTTCGTGTTTATGACATCGAAGTTGTAGATAGTTGACCGAAGTGTTCAGGGACATTTAAACTTCATGACGTGCGCGTTGCGTTAAAAGAAATCTCCACAATATCTCTTATTCTTTTTTTGTCTAACTTTTGGAACTATTCTTTTTCCTTAAAGATTGTTATCACTCGAAGTTTCAATAAATGTCTTAGTTTCGCTTTTATCTGCCTGTTTGTTTATAAGGTTCTTAACCATCACGCAGTGTTTCCAGAATTAAATATTAGTTAGTATTGCTACGTGTTACAGGTTTGCACAGATCTTTGTAAATAACTACACCAAGTGAAAATAAAAGATTAAAACTTTTCAGCTTGTGAATAACAGCTTATACGGGTAAGACAGATAGCTAAATATAGTTCAACAATAACATAAGTTGAAATTTTCCTGCAGTTATTTCAGTTGAAAGCAGTTATTTCACCCGAATAGTACTACAAAATGTTCCAAATCGGCAAAATGTCGTCATCGTTATAGCATAATTTATCGTCAAGACCTTTCAGGAATTTCTGCCTATTTTTTTATCTCTTCTTGAGGAATTATTCCAACTTCAACGTCAATAGACTTAAAATATACAGAATAATACATAAGGTAATTACAAATAAAAGAGATGACCCTAAATTTAAGGTTAAACAAAAATAAGAAGTAGACGAATGTAAAGTTACGATGTAAAATGTACTAAATCAATCAATAAAATAAAATGCCAATTTTTCAAGTCAATTTCTCTCCTATATATAATATCCATGCTTCGATTCATAAGCATTCCATTTCTGACTTTAATTATTGGGAAATTTATTGCATATCATCTCAGTGTCATTTAAGGTATATCTGCCAGAATAAAACACGGTTAAAATTTCCTATCAAAGAATACGAATCTTACGTTCGAAAAGGCGACATTAACAAGTCTTCGGCAGATAATCGTAGTTAGAAATTTTATCATAATTTTTACTTTGCGTTTGCAGGCATCATCCGTTAGTGAATCAAGGCGTCTTTCTGTTAGTGAATCGAATTTTCTTGATGCCTTTCATATTAACAAAGATTTATCTTGTTAATGTGAAAGACACTGTTAATAAGAATTGCTAAAATTTTATAATTAAAATGAAGATACAAATTTTATATTTTATATTAAAAATTTCGTTTAATTCATTATTTATAAAACTAATTTTTTTCGATGAAACTACTTACTCTTCAAAAAAGAAATACTACACACAGCTGAGGAAATTTTATTTAAAGGGGAACTTTTAGTTCTTAGTGACAATTTCGGTTCTTCATTTAAAAAACAAGCGGAATGAAAAGTAAATGTTAATTTAATCTGCTAATTTATGACAAAAATGTTTAAATGAAGAACATAATTTTGACATTTATTGATAAATATGGATCTAACACATACGTTCTGAATACATTCCTTAGCACAAGATTTTTTTTTAAACTTTTAGAACACTTTTAAGTATTGGTTTAGATATTACATATTATATATTTATTGATTATATACTTCTTAAATAATTGATGAAAATTTGGTATTCAACATATTTATTGTGTGACACTACTGAAGAAATATCTCTTATGATACACATAATATGCATTTTAGTCTTTTCGGTCCAAATTTACTTCAATTAAAACGTTGAGGAATTTTGATTGATGTGCATATTCGTACTGTTGTTATCGATATAATTCAACTGATTAGCCAAACAACATTTTATTTTAGTTACAAATTACTCACAAAATTAAAAGGAATGCCTTAAACATGCATTTAATTAGATATGCTTATTGTGATGTGATACTTTAATTGTTTAGATTATTAAGCCTAAAGTGAAAAACATATGCAGACGTTTAATGCTGCTTTTGTAAAAGTGCATGCAATTTTGAGAACAAGGAAGGAATTTTTTCCAACATTTTATTATATTGATTTTTAATTAACAATTACTTACTTGATTAAAACAATAATAATTTTATTAACTTTTGAACCATTCTAATTAAGGCATAAATTTTGTAATATAACAGAAGATACTGAAAATATATTCCGTATGACTGAGAGTAGGCTGGAAGTCGAGTTTGGCTTTCTTTTGTTCGAATGGAGCTTTGGACATAATCATAAATAAACAAAATAAGTTTGATGATCATTTTGTAGGCGTATATCACAGAAATTTTTAAACCAGGAACCAACCACAGCACTTCGGGGTAAAGTAAGAAAAAAGGGCGCATATCCGGTATATCATCTGGCCAGAAAATCCAAAACATAAAAGGCCTACAGATTGAATGAAAGGTAGTAGCAGCGTAATAATTGACTATAATAACCAGACCGCTGAAAATTGTTGTAGAATGCTGCTTTTGACATTGGTTCAGTTTGAAAAAGATGGACAGCAGACTACATATAATGGATGATATTTGATCCGTGACACCTCGGGGTTCCAGTTCATCTGCCCAGCTTATGATGTACTTTCGTATGTTATCCAGGAGGACGTACAGCTATTATACTAATCTGAAAAAAAAATAAATAACTTCACATTATAATAGTTAAACAGCTGAACCATATAATAAATATCAATAATGAAATATAGTTGTGAAACGCTTAATAGAGAGCCTGTCGTTCTTAACATTTTGGAAGACATTTTGCAGCACGTCTTACTGTTGTAAGTTACTGTTTAAGTGTTACTGTTGTAAGTGTTACTGTTGTAAGTCTGTTGTAAGTAAGAGATTTCTATAACTATTTCCCATGTATGCTTGCTTGACTATAGAGAAAAAATAATTGATAATAAAAGTGATAATTTCTCATAAAGTTTTATTATCTATTAATCAATGAATACAAAATTGTTTTTTTAGATCAAAAAATAATAACGAAGAATTTTAAAATTCATTACAGGTAGTACAGTAGAAATATACATACTAAGTAGAGCTACACTTGAATACTTATTAGTATTTACTAACAAGGACAGAAAGTCATCTTTTCGGATCATTTCTTAACATGTGAATATTAAATTTTTCTTTAGCCTTTGCTGACAAAGTCGAATTTAATCAGAATATCCTTTTATATCCTCAGGCAATGAAAAGCGGAAGGGAAATGAAATGAAGCTAATAGAAAATGAAAAGAAAGGTGAGACTAGCACAACGTTTACCTTAAAAGGTGGGAAGAAGATAAAAGAACTCTCGCTGTTTCCGTCTAACTCGTTGCAAGAACATTGAATCTTGTTTTATTACATATTTATTACAGTTTTAAGAAACGTTAACTGTTAAGAATAATATAAATAGACTCTATAGACGTAGTAGATTTTTAGTTTAATTTAATGATCATACACACAAAATATTTCAGGGTGACATTAGATTATGCAGTCAGTAGCATAACTTGGAACTGCGCGTATGAAAAATGCCATAAAGTCCCGACTTATATGTAGTTGACTTGAGTTAATTTTGAAGCATTCACACAAAGACAGTCATTCTATGACTAAATGTAATGTATACGCAAATGGAGGTAAAGGTATGGAAGCCATGATAAGTAAATAAACAGCTGATAATATTCTGGAGAAATTATCCACCGAAATTAGCTTTTTGTGAACCAGCGCGTTACATTTTGCAAAATACAATCTTTGTATCTTGAAAATGCAGTAACAAGATAGACCACATAATCTCATCACTGCATTCGAGTACCATCTCTGTACTGTTACAAGAAAGGAAGATAATCAACTATTATCGTTGACGATACCTGAAAATCACTTAGTGCTGAGAGATGCACAGCGCTCATAAATGCGAGCAAAATCAGGAATTATGCTTTTTCCAGATCTTACGTCAATATACACTGCTGGCCACCCAAATTGCAACAAAAAGAAAGACAGGAGATATCACAACAAAATTTATTTAGTAGATAACATATTGACAAAGTATCAAATGATTAAATTTATAGACTTCTGTGAAATGTGGTTCCTTCTAGAATCAGTAGCTAGAGTAGCCGCCCCATTGTTGGAGATCACCGCTGCCACACATCTCGGCATTAATTCAAAGAGACTTTCTATATGTTCTTGGGGTACAGCAGACCAAGCAGCTTCCACACGCTGCCAAAGTTGATCTGGTGTAGCATGACCCGATGTAATCTGGGTCAATCGTTTAGCAACCATGGACCACATGTTTTCTATCGGCGAAAGATCTGGAGAGCGAGCCGGCCAGGGAAGCAGTTAAATCTGGCGATTGACGAAGAACACTTGGACAATGCGTGCCACGTGTGGTCGCGCATTATCCTGTTGAAATATGGCTGAGGGCAAGCCCTGAAGGTAAGGAAGGACAACTGGCTCCAACAAATCGGAAATGTAGCGCTGGCTGTTTAAAGTACCGGCAATGCGTACTAGAGGAGTGCGAGAGTGATATCCAATACCGCCCCATACCATCATACCCGGTGCAAAACCAGTGTGGCTGTGCATAACGCAGCTGTTCAGCATCCTCTCTCCACGGTGTCTTCAGACTCGAATCCGACTATCGTCGTGTTGCAGACAGAAGCGTGACTCGTCAGTAAAGACAATTTCATTCCATTCTGCCGTCCACATCTTTCGTTCATCGCACCATTGACGGCGGATACGTCTGTGGTTCTGCGTCAAGGGTAGACGAAGCAATGGACGTCTTGCGGACAGACCACTCTGCTGTAAACGGCGTCGAATGGTACGCGCAGACACCGGATGATGTGTTACAGAGTGAATGTGCTGTGGTTTGGTTCGTGATGTGACTGAGCGATCCGTCACTGCCATGCGCACAATGTTCCTGTCATCACGTGAAGTGGATGCGATCAAACACTTCGGTCCGTCGTACTCCCCTGAATCCAACGGCCACATATCCGCATTGCAGTTGTTTGGTTTTGTCCAACAGTTTTGATTTTCCTGAAAGATAATCCATACTCTCGGTAGGCCACTATCCTTCCTTTGTCGAACTCGGCGGCGGAGACGCCAAACGATTCTCGATTGACCAAACGATTGATGAAACGATTGTCGCTGTTTACCACAAGGCATAATTGATCTTTTTTGGGAGAAAAAAAAAAAACAAGAAGAACACAATTGCCGAACTTGAAATCGTCGAAAACTCCAAGCCTTAAGTAGCGTTTTGAAGTGGCGCCACAGGCGCGCGTTATGTGCGTCTGCGCTGAAATTCTAATCATTTGCATATCTCATCTCCGCTAATGCATACTGTAAATTTCATGTTATTTGCTTCCTTCAGGGTGTTGCATTCACGGTGGCCAGCAGTGTAGTTAGAAATCATGCACAAATTATTCTTACCATTGAACACGGCCCTTTTCCACTAGTCATGCCAAGTAGTTTTGGTAAAATACTAAATACCTCAAACTCCTCTGCGACGGGTAACCAAAATGCAGAAAATTCTGTTAGAGGAAGGCGGGAGGCAAACATACTTCGGTTGATTCAAGAGTAGCAGTTCATGCAGATATGAAATATTCAGTGTCTTGCAACTTTGAATGGAATATTAGCAGCAGAAGATTATGGGACGAATGTCAGATACTATATTCAGAGTCTGCCATCCAGTCGATATAGTGGTTAGTGACCGAACGTCGCATGGACCTCCGACCTAAAGTTCTACACCAATCAGAGATATGTCCATGCGACGGAAAAGGAATCTACCATCCACCGATCCACCGCCGGCTGCATTCATTGAATCAATGATAGTAATATTACAATGCTAAATTGACAATGTCATCTTTACAATAATTGTTACATAAAACTCCGCATGAAAAATAAATATACAATCAATTAAACATTACATTGTCATGGCTAGGATCTATCCTGTGAAGAGTGGAACTTATATTAACCAGTCTCTAAACCTATGTCTAGTTCAATAAGTCGTAGCTTCATGTTCTTATCAGTTATACACCTAATGATGTGTGTCCATACTATTGTTTCAGTTATCCACATAGTAAGCCAGTCACATCAATTCAGGCATTTGATAGTTCCATAGCCCTAAGTTTTGTGTAAACTATTCTATGTTCATATAAACTGGATTCTAAGTTAACCTTTGATAAATTCGAAGTACACTTTTGTTAAGTTCATTGTTCACGTAAACACTTGTCCATTTCGAAACATCATAACTTCGTATCCTTACAGTTTGCACACCTCATTATGTGTGTCCATAGCAATTTGCACACTGTGTCGCAGTTGTCCACAAAGCAATCATTGCAGTTGAGAAGTTCATAGTAACATGTACACTATTTTAATAATATCCACAGAAGCAAATGTTTTGTTAAATAATAACTTAGCCCCCAGATAATTAAAAAAAAAGAAGGAAAGAAAACTAATTCTTAATTTTTTACTACAATTCTAAATTGTGCAAAACGACAGATATGTTATATAATTCCAGTCTATACAAACTGGTTGGTATTCCAACAATATAAAGCACATATTCTAAAAAATGCTATTATTTATTCCATTACATGTATCTAATTGTGTTTATAAAAAGGGTGCAATAATACACAATTTCTTTAAGTAGTTAAAAACGTCTACTGAGAAACAGGAACTAATTCCCAATTATAAAAGACATAAAATACATAATTATTCAGTGGATATTATTTACCAATCATCATACCATAAAAATACTCGTTTCAAACGCTGTAACTAATTTTTATTACAGTTAGAATATTTACCAATCAATCATACTACAATATACATATATAAAAAACTGCAACTAATTTTTTATTACAGTTAAAATAATAAATTTTTACTATACAATTATAAATAGCAAAATTAAACAAGTCCAATCTATACAAATTGACGGGTATTCCTACAATATTAGAGCACATATTCAAATATAGCTAATCATGCTTGTAAAATTGCTATAATAGTGCCCAATTTCTCCAAATAAGTAAAAACATCTACAGAAAAACAGGAACCAATTCCCAATTGTAACAAACATGAGATGCAAAAAATTATTCAGTACATATTATATACCAATCAATTATACCATATAAATGCCCATGTTTCAAACGTTTCAAATAATTTTTCATTATAGTATAGTTACCAGTCCATCATACTATATAAATGCACATATTTTAAATACTGCAACCAAATTTTCATTACAGATAGTATATTCCAATTTTCCAGCTAATAAAATGAGTCAGCTCTAAGTTGAATTGGCTGTAATAGTTCACAATGCTTAAAATAGTTAAGAACATCTACTGGAAAACAGGAACTTATACCCAAGTGTGATGAACATGATATACAAAAGTTATTCAGTACAAGGCTATTATAATTCCAGATCCCATAAAAAGCTACAAAACATCCTCAGATGTTTATTCTTATGTGCAAATACAAACCACTAAACTCTCTATCAAATATAGAAAAGACATTTACCAATTCTATCAAAACTCAATACACCTAAATATTTCATACATTTAATTATAACTCTAATAACAAGAAAGCATTATAATCGACAAAATAATTAGATACAGTTCTAAATTTCTGTTTTTACTTAAAATGCACATATTCCAAGAACAGTAATGAACTTTTTATCACAGTCAAAATATTCCATTTCACCAGAAAACAATAATTGTAATTGACTTATAATAATGCAAAAATAATATAATAATAACAAAATGGCAAAAATAATGATAAAAAGAACAAAGTAATAATTATAAAATAAGAAAAATATTCATAATTAAAGGCTATAATATTATTATACAAAGGGACAATTCCCAAATGCCTCCATAAGTTATAAAAACCCACAGAACTTATTCCCATGTGAAAGTGTAGAGCATATCCAGTACTTAATAGTTCTAAATATTCTATGCATTGAAGTTAAACACACAATTATAATTAGAACATGTCAAATGGGAAAAAAATTAAAAGGAGTAGTTCATGCTACCCATAGTGCAAATATTATGTGAAAGTTGTTGAAAAAGTATGCATCTCATTGCAAATATTAAAAATTTGAGTTAATGTGTGCTGAAGAATTTGTCGTTTTAATAGTGTTGGAATAAAAACGACGGAAAGGGACCGTGCCCCGTGAGAAAAGTTGACTGCGCTGTAGATGAAGCCAAAAATGTTTCCGAGACATTTGGCAAAAATTTAAAAGTTCTTCTGCCCGTTGTGGAGTTTTCTATTTTTTTGCCATTGCTGGAGTAAGTTCTTGGTATATCTCTTAATGTAAGAAAATGGTAAAGGCAATGAATATTGAAGAAGGTTATTTCCTCTTACCGCTTTTGCCAACTGGTCTGCCAAATGATTGCCATAAACCACCCTTTGATTGGAAACCCAGCTCAATAAGGGTCGAGAAGGGGCAGGAAGGTTAAGAAGAAGGATTTGTATATCTGCTCCTATTGTATTAGTTGAATTTTCTCTTTTTATGGCCTCCAGACTAGAAAGTAAATCACTGCAAATTTCCACTTGTGATGGAAATTGACTTGGAAGATGCACTGCCTTTTTTAGTGAAAGTATTTCAGCTTGAAATTTGGTAGAGATTCTGGGAAAGAGAAAGAAGAAGCATGTTTATTAAATTTAAAATGTAACTCTCGCTGCATTGAATCATATTCTTCTGGTAAATCTTGAAAAAACGATTTTAAGACGTGCTATCACTTGCTGTGAACGTGTAGCCGAAGGAAGAATTTGTATTGAAAGAGAACAAGGCTGTAAAACGTTATCCAAAGCAATTTGGAAAGCTGAGCCGTAATTCTGTTGGGTGTTGGTCCAAAACGTTCTCCAAGACAATAATTTGGTTTCCCTAATTTTTTCTTGTACAAGGCCTGAGATTTCTTATACTTTTGAATAATGAAGCACGATTTATATCATCATAGGTGGCTTGTGCTCGTTTGCGCAATTTCCGTAACTTCCTTCGCTCAGTTGTAAGCTCTACATTCCACCAGGAGTGGCTGTACGCATACAAAACCTTTTCATTTTGAAAGCATTTTTACAAGCTTGTATGCAAAGTGCATTTATTTTATTGTAAGTGTTATCCAAATCTCTAGTTGAGCTAGATTAAAAAGAACCGATTAATGATGAAATGTGAGGAGATAAACAGCTACGAAATTTATCTTTTCTTCCAAAGAACGTTTTAAATCTTAATTTGCCTAGGGATCGTAGAGTTGGAGAAAAACTGAAAGTAGTGGTTTGGTGATCACTCCTGACTGCCGTAGCAATGAACGAGGATTCGAATACCGGAGAAGGCATGGTTGTAACTGTCCGTCCCTTCATAGCAGGCAACGGTGGCCACCTATTAGGTGTTTTCATAATGAAATGGAGACCACTTCTGACCCTTGTAGTGGTGCAAGGCTAATGGCGCTTGTAGTGGCTAATGGCTATTAAATAAAGCGCTGGCCATTAAAAAAAAAATAAGATAGCCTAGTCTCACAGGGGGTTTATAGTTTCTTTTACTTCCTTTGGTTAGTATTGTAATTTTATCTATTGTTACTAAATACATTACGTTGCATTTTGCCAACCATATTATCACCTATATCTTCAGCCTTATGATAAAAGGATCCGAAAACAACAAGCATGTGTTTAACTGAAAAGTTTTTGTAGATATTTCTTCCTTTTGGTACTTTCGTATTACTTTGTCGTCATGGTTATGTCAAAACATTTAGCTTCTTGGTTATAATTTTCTTCTTTTCTCTTACTCACTGGAATGATACAAAAGTGGGTAATTATGTGCTCCAGATATTTTGTTTAAAGTAGCATCAAATTTTTTGTAATGTGATATTTCCTATTTCGAGCATGCTTTAGCAACTGAGTCTTTTGCAATTGCTGCACTACGTATACTCAGCAAAAGTTTTTATTCTAAGATTTCTTTTCTTCGCTTCTGTGCTATAATAACAACCACGCCCATTATAATTTGCTTTAAAACACAGGAGAAACATATGTTATATACATATATTTCTTTAATAATGAAAATAAAATAAATTTTAAATATCCATCACATGTTGTTGCACGTGCAGAGAAATAATATTTTTGTATTATTTCTATTATTTAGGAAATCCAAAATAGTAGAAAGAAAATTTCTATCTTTATTTTTATATGCATCGAAAGAGACAAATATTTTTAAAGGTTTCAAAACGGTGAATAACATGCTTCATGTCACCATACACGAGACGTTTAATTTATTTGAAAAAAATAAAATTGTGTCAAATAGGAAACTAAGAATTAACTAATTTCTTAATCAATGATGAATTTTTGTAAAAGCATATTTCAAATTATCCTATAAATCTAATTAAAGCCAATTTAATTATTATAATTACGCATGTTTTACGACAGTTTTACTATAGTATTTCTTTGAATATCAAATTTGTGAATATCAAAAATTCAGTCCACAACCTGAAAAAAAAATAATACTCTCTTTGTTATCAATAAAATTTTGAAGCAAATGAAAAATAATAAAAATTAAATAGTTGAAATATATGAACTGATATAACTCTGACTTGCAAGTTGAAAACTAATGGCTTTGAATCTCATGCTTTCAAATTTTTACTATATATGCATTGTTGCAATAAATAATTGAATTACAAGTAACGCTTGATTTTTAACGGTTCGTTAAAATTTTAAGCATTAACTGACTTCATAACAAACGTTTTACGGCATACACTAAATTTTTTACTACAATATTAGTATTAATTATTCTGTATAAATTAAAAATGAACTATTACTTTCATTGCTCCGACTACGATAAAAAAGATAATTTTATATCAATGTTTAGCTATCAGTAATTAGAGCCATAGTTTTGAATTCTCTTGTTGTTTCAAATGGTCGGACACTTGTAGCTTAGATCATTTCGTAAACCTTATTCTAATATTTCCCATTGTTTAATTCTTCTTAGGAAAGCTTGGCAGCAAGCGACTCATAGGACCCAGCTCGAAGGAAATTATGGCGAGAATGGATTGCAAACAGATACTTTGAATGAAACAGAAGCTCAATGAATCTGAAGTAAATTTGAGTGGTGCCTCAGACGGGAGGGAGAAATTGCCTTTTAAAGACAATTATTTCATGCTCTTAAGGAAGGGAATTTTAAATCCATACAATAGCATCCACTACATCATTTTACACTTATGTCATACGCTCTGCTTCGTATAAACACACTAAAATTAATTTAAGCTTTCGTCTATTTTATCTTCCTAACATTGTGCGTTTTTTATTTTATATTTAATAATTTTCATTTTGTATTGTAAATGATTTTTATGTTCATTTATGTTTGGGTATAATTTTGGGTTAAAAACTTGTGACTGAATGATTGTTGTAAAATGCAAAACGTCCATCATCTGCGATTCCGGAACGAATCAAAGCTACTAAAAATTTAGTCAAACAAAATGAAGACAAATACTTTATGTCTCATGAAAAATTTGTGAAATGCAGAGAAAGACCCAATTCAATATTGGAGAGGAGGTATTTTTGAAAGCTTTACAACCACATCATGTTTTACAACCAAAATACACTGGACCTTTCAAAATAATAAGACTTTGTTCGAAATGAAAATTACTTAATCCAAAAGGGAGATGACAATAAAACTAAAAAAAATCACATTAATAAGTTATTCAAAAATGTTCGTCTGAGATCTAATCCTTCTGAGGTCTATTAAAATCATTTCACTTCATCGAGCTTGTTTTTCCTTTTGAATTGAGTGTATTGAAAAATTATGTTGTGATACAAAGTTTTAAACGTTTAAAGTTTCGTGGATTTAATTCCAACCAGTTTAAAATTCGTTGTTCACTAGGAATGTATGGTGGCTACTTACATTCATACCTTTGATTAGCTGCAGGCCGAGCTGACTAAGATTCCGCTCGGACCAGCCGGAATTTGAGAAAACAAATCTTACTAATTTATTAAAAAAATTTGTTGAGGACATTTAGTTATTGTTTTAAGTAATAGGTTAGACATGAAATTTTTGTAATTTATACATTAAGTATAGCTCAGGGACTACTAGAAGTAAATGAATAATTAAAAAGAATCGAAATATGTAAAATAATCGAAAGAAATAGGAAAGTGCAATATTAAATGATATTAGACAAATAATATAAACAAATAGGAAATAATGCGAATGTTTTAGGTGTGTTGACACTGAAAATTGTGTTGCTAACTAGCAGGTTTAAAAAAATTGATTATGTAAAATCTACTGATATGTAGTGAGATTCAATGGTCTATTTAACGAAAGAAATATTTAAAATATGTCAAAAGGCTTAAAATTTTTACTTTAGTGATATATTGTATGTAAAATATAAACTGCAAAGTTAATTTTTCAATTCTGAATCACATATATAGTAGGCTGTACACTGTATAGTGTCAAAACTTGAAGGCACTGCATTATGAAAATAGTGTATTTTGAAAACTGTGTAGTATCAAATCATGTGAATGTGTGAAAATTATAAAAATATCATGCTAATTCATAAAGAATTTTTCACAGTTTGACACAAATATAAATCTGTGTCAAATTGTGAAACTTCATGCTAAATTCACAGTGAGATTACTAAGATGAGAATGAGAATCGCGAATTTAGAAAATATTATAAAAGATGTAGTGCCCAGTTTTCATCGACAACGTAAAACTAGTTCTAGAAAAATGTGTGACGTGTAAGTCAGCAACTCAACTTTCGTTGCCGTGATATGGTTGTTCCTTTTTGCATAAGGCGGAAGGAATGTGATGGCAAGCCCTCACGTTTTTTCACTCCGAATTCCATTTCCACAGTAGCAAACAGAAGTTGGCGAAAGAGACTATAAATAGACCGGTTTGAAGTTTACGAGCCCTCTCATGACCAGGCGAACCAATCAGAAAGCGGAACCTCACGAATTAACTTCCCTCAATCGTAGATTTCATTTTCTCATTTTCTACTCATTCTAGGAATTCATTCAGTACTTCAACATACAGACAGTCACGCATCTTCTCTAAAAGAAGCAAGGTTCTTCACACTCTTTACTCCATCTATTTCTTCCTCCCCTGGAGAAAACGTCGCTGATGTTTTTCACCTCCGCCAGGCTTGTTTGGACTCATTAAGGAATTGTAAGTGCATTAAAGGAAATCTCCTGTTGTGCATCAGTATGTTACAAAAGTATGAAGTACATGCCCTCTTTTTGACCTCGTTTCACTTTGAGGTGTGTTCTATGGAAGCATGAATGAAAATTGCAAGACACTTTGTGTATTTTTCAAAACCATTCGGCACCGTCAAGTCCGCTGATGAGTACTCTTGCTTCTTCATGTGATTTTTATCTTTTGTACCTGTGAAAGAGTATGGTGATTCTGTAAAAATAGCCGGACGTTTTTCATCTTTATTAAGTTCTGTAGTTTCCCGATAGCATACCAGCGAATTAATTGAGTTGCAATCTAACAATCATCTCAAGCAGTTATTTCTAAATATACCAAAGTTAGAATTTTACAACTCACTATCGAAAGTAAGTTTGCCAAATTTAATATCTCACGTCCGGAAAATCAGTGCTATGTTTGCTTCATCTTTACATATGTGAACAAGTTTTCTCAACTGTGAACCTT